TAGGATTTTAAAGTAGAGTTTGATTGAAAATGTATTTATTTATTTAGATTAGTTCTAGTATTTCGATAAGTTTTTAAGAAGTTCATTTGATTTTAGTTTCTTTGCTCAATATAAAGAGGGCTTATTTATTGTAATAGGTACCCTTGAATATATGAATAATTGATTCTCTTCCACTAATTTCTTCTTCTTGGATCCCCTTTCTCTTTCTTGTTCTTTTTCAATTGTTCTTGTCAAATTATTTTGTTCGTGCGTCATGATTTTTGGTCAGATATGTTAATAAAGAAAGATGAATTTCAAATGTGCTTTAAACCAAGTAAGAAATTTTTTTATCAGAAAAAAAATGAATAAGGAGAGATTCTATTCTTGCATGTCTTAGGTAAGGTAAGAAAATATACTTTTATGGTAAAAGGAATGCAGAATATTTTAATAATTTCTGATTATTTTTTTTTTTCCAGTACATAAATTACTTATGAAAGAGGAATAAATATATCTCATATACATGATAATTTCTAGATATTTATTTAGTTATTTGGAATGCACCTGGAATTCAATCACGTTGGTATAAAGAGCCGAAAAGGAAGAAGAGGAGGGAAGAAGCAATGTACTGAGCAACGAATTATAGATTTTATACACAATTAGATATATTATTAGCAATCAAATAATATAAAATAAGAAAATTTAAACCATTAGATATATTATTAGCAATCACCCTAGCACCACGTGTTGCAATCTAATTTAAACCATTCTTTGAAGAAAGTTGTTAAACACAAAACACGATTTTCCTTTTAATTTGAAAGCACACTTCTAATTAGGTCCAAGGTTCGAAACTCAACACTTAATCGGATATTCGAGAATGGGACTGGGCACGAAATTTTGTCCAGGGGCGGGGAAGGGTAACTGGCGCCCCGCCCTGTTTAATTTTATTATTATTTTTAAAAAAAACTTCAATACTTTAAATGAAAAATTTCACGTACTTTCATTAGTTCTAATAGAAAATTACAACTAAAATTATTTATCTAAATTCAATAAATGTTGGTAATAAAAATAAATTATCAAAAATTTAAAAAAATAAAAATAAAATAGGATAGTAAATAAGGTCCGGACCCCGCCCCGCCTTAAATGGGTATCGGGTTGGGGGCCGGGCGAGGAATTGCTTGGCGGGGCCGGGAAGACACCTCCCTCGCCCCGCCCTGCCATCCATACATTACTCAGACTACTAGTTCAACCTGTCCTGGTTTTTCAGTTTGCGTTGACGTGATGGTGTTGGTCGAGTTTGGGCGGGGTTGGGGAACATTCACACGAGTGCCAACCTATTTGGACGATGAGCATATTTCTACTTCCATGGGACCTGTGCGAGGAAATGCATAATTCATTTTATTTTATTTTTAGGTATTCAAACTTCGTCCGACTAATATTGAGGAAAGACGGCATTTCTCATGTTTGTCATTCGGGTAAATCAGATGCAATTATAACTTATACACATTTGGGCCGAACATTTCAAAAGCGATTTTCCTTCATGTGGACCCTCCTTTACGACGTGCAGGCGGAAAATGGAAATATAGAGGTTAGTTTCTTCATTGTCTTGGGACATGTATAAGGGAAAAGATAAATCAGACTAGTTATCGTGCAAAAAGATTTACAAGATAGTAGGAGTCTATTTGGTGCTCTTTAACAAAGCAATTGTGGCAAAGCAGTGCTCGAAACTTATTACCAATCTTGAGTCTCTCTTGGCAAGAATTTTAAGAGACAAATACTTGACTAATTTCTCTTTTATGAACGTTGATGGGAAATGTGGGTGTTCATCTTTGGTGGAGTATATTGTTGGAACGAGAACTAGTTAGATCCAAACCGAGATGGAAGTTGACTCACTTTTCACTTCGGTATCCCCACATTATGGGAATCATCATCTCAACTTGGAGGAATATCATAGAATGCGCCTAAAAATTGAAGGTCGTGGGAATGCAATCATTTGTGGACAAATAGCACATTGGAAATCGAGGCCACTTAGCAGAGATATGCTAAAGCTAAATGTAGATTCAATTACTGTAAAGGATGGCCACGACTTCTATGGAATTAGAGTGATATGTCAAAATGAGAATGGGGAGATGGTGGTTGCAACGACAATATGTTGGGGGCAACAACTCACCTCTCATTACAGAGTGATGGCAATCTTTGAAGGCGTCGATTTGTTACATCTCACAAACTCTTAGTTTCAACTATGGAATCGAATTGTAGTAACATAGTGAATGCAATCCCATGACCTTCTTGTCACTCACCTGATCAACCAATTTGTAGAGGAATGAGCTACTCGATCATTTTTCGGAAAGTGAAGGTAGCTCGTTCATAGAGAAGCAAAACGGTTACATGACAATCAATCAACGTGGAAGAGTGGGTAGTCCAATGCACTTTTGATACTTTGCATTAAATAGATCTTATTTCATAGATTGTGACTTTATAGGACTCGAAAAGTTGTAATGTGTGAATAAGTTATCCTTTTATGGGATTCTCGTTCTTGAAAAGTAGCTTGTCACATCGCTTGAGAAATCATGTTATCTTGCAAGATGTGAGCAAGTTGGCAATGACAACTATGTTCATAAGGTTAGCATAGCTAGTTGTGAAGCTTTTATTAGTGCTAAAGCACTCTTTATAATTTTAGCGTAATTTTAGCGATCAAGAAACATGGAAGAGTGGGTAGTCGAATCCATAAATTAATTATTGGTGGGTGGTCAAATGCAATCTATTATTTAAGGAACTGATTACTGTAACTCGAGATCGAGTATAATAGACGTTTTGAAGGATTTTTTTTTTTTTTTTTGAAATTTGGATATTGTGAGTGCTATTTATATCTTCGTGGGAATGGTGTTATATGGAGATGGAGTTATGCCTCTTTAGAGCAATTATAAAGTCAATTGTATGTGAAGCTTTTACCCTAACTACATTTAAATTACCTTCAATTGATAACAGTCGAGTCAAATATTTCCAATTAACAAAAATAACTACTTTATGAAATGACCTTTATAACTAACACATACATATGTAGCAATTCGCACGTACTTAGTTAGTCTCTGTTTGTCTTCCATTTTTTTCAAAATTCTTTTTTAACATACTTATTTTTATTCACATTCACTCAATAAAATATTCTACATGTAAATTCAAAATTTTTTCGTACTTTTTAACCACACATTCTCTAAAAAATCACTATTTTAAACAAAATTTTTTCAAAAAAAAAAAAAAGAGCACCAAACATGGCTTAATTGTACATCCATCACTCAAATTTTATCCCAACTACAATTAAATCATGATGAAGTTCTCATGTCTTCATTCCAATCATCAATTTATCAAAACGCTTGAATGATCTTTACATTTTTCAAAAAGAGAAGGAATATGGACAACTTCGTCACAAAGTCAATAGGTTGTGGACTATTGCTGCAATTGTTTCAAAGTAAGGCATATCCTCTTCCTCCACCAATCAAATAATTTTTCACTCAATAAATTGATTATTTTACCGATAATTAAGAAGAATTATCCAAAACCTTTTCTTTAATTGGACAGAATCCCCATCATCTTTTCCTACAGTGATTTTACATACCGAATATTCGCATCGCAGGAAATTCATAATTCAGCTCAAAGAAAAATGCCTATTTCAATAATCATCGCTCAATTTTAATCCCCTTTGATTGGCAGCATGATGGCCCTCTTAATCCCCTCGTCTGGAATTTCATCACTTTCCATCCACCGGCGTGAAATCCCGGCCAGAATCACTCCAAGGAACAGAAATATTAGGGTTAGGGTTTCATCAAGTGTTATAGACTTGGAAGAGGATACAATTGAGGTTTTGAAATTGAGGAGTAATTATTACTATGATTTTGCGTGGTTGTACAGTCAGTTCTCGGCTCCAGCGAAGCCTACTGGTAGAGCGGCATCGTTTACTGCGAAAAAGGTTATGGATGAGGAAGAAACGAAGCGGAATTATTATGTGAATACGGGCTATGCTATTCGGACCCTCCGAGAAGAGTTCCCGGAGCTTTTCTATAGAGAGCTCAGTTTTGATATATACAGGTTTGAAATTCAATCTTTTTATTTTCATTTTTTGAATTAATTTCTGCAAAGATTATAAATTTCTCAAATTAATTAAGGATATTTGTATGTGATCGTTTATTGGTAGGAAGTTGGGCGAATGTTTGGCTCAGCTTAAAAAATTTACCCTGGAAATTAACTTAGTTATAAGTGAGTTTGTTTAGGATGCATGGTATTTCTTGAATGATAACGATAAGTTATCAAAAAAAGGTAACCTTTCTTGTGTTTAAATGATAAAAAACTGAAAAAGTAACATATCCAGAATCGTTTGGAAATAAAAAGTCACTTAAGAGTGAATATTCTCAAAGTGCGTGTCTCCATTGTGATAAATTATTGATCAATGTTTTCTTGCTTTCTTTCTTTTAATGTAATCCATTTGGGTAATGGTTTTTAGGCTTAATTACCAGCTACGAATGGGGGCTTTGGCAATCAGTGCATTGTTAAATTCAATGTACAGAGATCTACTTGTCATTATTCCAAAGGAACAAATTGTTTATGAATCTAAAAGATTAGGAAGTTTCTATTTTCTATTTTGTAACATATGATTGATATGAGATGAGTCCATGTACTGTTCTATGAACTATTGTTATAAAAAGTTATAACTTATAATAACAAGATGGCCAACAGATTCTGCCGTTCCTTTGTTGCTACATTTATTCAACAGGTTTAGGAATTATAGAATCTAATTTCCTTTTTATACGAGAGTAACTGTTGTTCATTTTGATATTACGCGTGTACGAAATCGTAAACAAATAATAAAGTGAACATGAGTCCAATATCGACCCTTGAGGACTAAATATCTAGTCTAGTTTTCAATTAACTGTACTCTAGTCGAATGACACACAATTAAGATTGGACGATTATTTATACTCACAGCCTAAAGCTAACTAATTAATCTAACTAGTAAACTAAGCGGTACGAATAAATATGAATGCTCAATTAATTGATAGAGCACGAGAACCCTGAATCCCCCACATTCTTCCATCTTAAAATCAATTGCACAATTCGAAAATATTTATTTGGATATAAAGATCAATTTTCCTATCTTGTTTAATAATCTCTACCTAGTAGAGTCAAATCTATCATCAGATATAACCATGTCATATCACTATCCTGAATGCGCACATGTAAAGATGCATTGAATAACAAGAATATTTATTTGGATCGTGCAAAGTATAGACTATTATCCTTAATGTCTACAGGACCTTAAATGATTGCTACTTGTACTAAATTTCTATTTATTTCCCTGAAAGTCAAATAAAAATCATACATCCAATTAATTGAAAAGCATTGAACTCTTAACAATCATTCAAACAAAACAAATATTTAATTATAAAATCATAGAAATTAATGTCAAAACTTCATAAGACAGGTTTCAATGTTATCCTAGCATCTATACAACTACCCAAGGATTATAATTATACAAAAACACTACTTGAAATGATACAACATCGCCTGGAATTAAAATAGGGAAGAAAGATGGAAACAATCTTGAATTTTGAATTCCTTCAACAGTTCTTGAATTATTTCATTGCATGTCTTCTTTTTCTTCAACTCTAAGCAAACTTATATGAAAAGATGATATAGATGTGCCTTGCATCACAAGCTTCTTCAAAGCTTTGCAAAGAATATAGAATTTCTGTCAATGACTCTTTTTGAATCTATGGAATGTGTGGAATATATGTACTAGA